AAGGATTTGTCTTCATATGTGGTGAACAATGCTGATGATTTAGACAAGACCATGACACTGGGAAACAAAAATCGTGAGTGTGTGACCTAACCCTTTTCATCTTAGCATTAATATCTAAATTCTCAACATTCCTCTCTTTAGATTTCCTTTGGTGTCGACTATGAGAATCTGTTTAACAATGCTGTCGGCCAATTGAACTTAATTAATTAGTATGCGTTATTGACCAAGCGTGAGGTCAAGATGGCTGGACATTGGCCAAGTTTGTTTTTTGTGTTTTTTGTGTCTGAGATGAAGTGGATCTCTGTAAAAATGCAAAAAGGATTGAGGCTAATATCCAGCCATCTTGGCCAAACAAGCGTGGTCAGAAAAGGTTTTATTATACGTGGCGAAATGATTTCACTTTAAATAATAAGAACTGAAAATGTCTTGCTTATTTTGAAGAGTTGGTAAAGAAAGCCAAATGTGATTTTAGCACAATAACACCTGCCATGAGGTTCTTTTATGTATTGTTTGTTTTGACTGTCTTCCTCTATCTTTTTGAACTTCATCACTGACATTGTCCAAAATTTAGGAATGTTGTAAGTCTGCTCCATGCACTTTTTTTAATGCGTGGGATCAAAGTGGGCAATCTTAAGCAGGCAAGATGAGCTCATCTTGCCTGCTGGGATAGCCAATCAGAATGCAGGATTCACTTCATATTGCCCATGAGCACTGCCAGTGATGTAATAAACAACATAAATGAGACTTCAAAAACTGCAGGTGCTGGATTAGTTTTCAGAGTGTTTGATGGGGTATTGTAATTTACTTTTCAGAACTACTTGCCCTGTATGAAATATAACTTTTTCTTAATACATCTCTGCAATGTGCTCAAGATTCTGTTTGTGATTTTAGGTTCTGTTGGGGCTACAAACATGAATGAACGATCATCCCGCTCTCATGCTATTTTTACCATTACTGTGGAGTGCAGTGAAAAGGGACCAGATGGTCAAAACCATGTACGCATGGGAAAACTACATCTTGTGGACTTGGCTGTAAGTTTGTTACATGGAGTGTCAAGTAACTGGACATATCTGTACAGTAACCTGTTGTATGTCTCTAGAAAGTTTTGGAAAGCAGCAGTCATGCTCTTGCCCCTGAAACACAGGAAACACATTGAATCAGTTTAATTTAACTCAGCTACAGGTTTTAATTTATAAAATAGTGCCTGTTCACTGAGACTAAAATTGAGGTCACAATTAACAGA